TAAAAATAAACAGAGACATGTACGAAGCCGGAGTAGGTTGCAAGCATGATAATATTACTTTGATACAGTTATCACAAGGTATCATTATAGCTTTGATTATCTAAACGTTGTTAGAATTGAATAATAGCTATAGAATGTGGTCATATAACTGTCTCCAAATACTGTTCGCAAGTAATCATGAGTTAAAACCCATCATTTACTGGATACACTGTCCACAAATAACTGTCGACATTGGTGAACAGTAATTGTATTATAATGGGTTTTATACACTGTACAGTATTGTACTGTATGACGATAGAGACTAAAATATATCATTATAAAAGGGAGACTTAGTACAAAATTGTCTACGTTATTTCACCTAATTTAGCTGGCAGTATTTTTTTTTGATGTTGATACATACTTATTTTGTTCTCATTTGACTTTCCAGTTGTATGAAAAAAAATTGAGGGTAGGGAAATCTTAGACAAAGAATGAGGGACAACAAGAGCGACGCTTGTACAATTTGAGGTACTGCTAAACTAGGCTGTACCTCAAAGTGCTGGCTAGGCTGTTATTACTGATTTTCATCAGATTGTTTGATTCTTTTAAAATTATTTCGAAATTAAGAAAATAATCAGTTTAATTTTTAGCTTAGCAATAATAGAGCTACTACGTCTAGCTTCTGAATTACTTTAAAATTTTGATTAAATCATATATTACTTAACTGATTTGAATAGTTCTTATATATACATATCTTGACGACCTCAGTGGTCTAGCGGTTTAGCACATATAAAGTCCAAGTTAGTCCCAAGCTAAGCAGAACTTGTGTTATGGTTATTAGACAACTGATATAAATACATATATACTTTTTTCTAAATACATACTTAATAAATATAGAAAACACCCAGACAATATATATACAAACATTTATAAATGTGGTAGAAATTTGATCATAATATATTATGGTAAAATTTCTACCACTGAGTGTCTACTGTCATTCATTATTCAGAGACCTATATATTTTGTTAATCTTTGTACGTTATGAAACATACACCGTTATTGGATGCCAACGGCTTTTCGCAACTTCAGTTAGCGTTAACGGTTCTAGTTATAGTCTGGTTAATTACTGATTGAGTTACATTTGTGAAGGCTGTCCATCTGCAGTCACAGTACAAAGCACTTTTATCTAATTAGACCCAAAAGAATGACCTACTCGTTGCTTGCCCTGACTTCGCAAAAGTGCAAATAGTACAGGGAAGTCAAGCTTTTCTATATTTTTTGGGACGCTTTATTAACGTAATTAAACAAAAAGTGGTGCTTGTTAGATTTCTATATTTGAGTATAGACTCAAATACAAAATCTAACTAAACTAAATAAATAGTTATTTATTTATTTGATTCTCTGAGCGTTCATGCAAATTAATCTCAGAAGCATCTCAACGGATTATTCTAGCTTCACTTTATTTTTATAAAGAATGGCAAACAAGCTGACAGTACACCTGATTGTATGTGTTAACCGTTATCTGTTCACTTCGTATATACATCGTGTATCGTGTGCTCGTCACGTTATTTATATGGCGCCAATGATACCACTGCTTATTCCGGAGAACTGAGATCCTCTTATCTTGTAATTTTACTAGCGTATCTCACCGTTCAACAGAAACATATCTTATAAAACAAGCTGTTTGGTGACTGAGTCTGAGGTAACCACGGTAGAACGTTACGGTATCAAATTATTTTATTATTATTTTATTAAAAGGCTTTATTTTATTTCATTTAAAATAAAATAAAGCCCTTTATTTTATTTTAAATGAAATAGAAAATTCTATAATAACTGCATCCACGGTTGCAACTAGTCCGCGATGGGGCACTAGTTATTTGTAAAATAAAATAAATCACAGTAATTATTCTATCAGTAATTAAAAAATAATGTTATGAAAACATGAATTTAATTGTTTATACTAATTGTTTTTAGATATGTTATTTCTTATATAGAAATAACATATATAAAAACGATTTTATGAGTTATTTTATGGATAATTCAAAAAAGAAGCAAGTAATATTTCGGATTCGTGTTTCTCAAAGAAAAGAGAGTATATCTCATTTATCAATTCAGAAAATTAAAAATATTGTGTCTTATTTTTAAATAGCTGTATCGTTTACTATGCCTATGAATTCTTAATTAACACTGCATTACGATATGAGGAGTTCGCAAATTTTATTACTTGTTATAAAGAACTTTTGTGAAAATAAATTTAAGTCATATATATTAATACCTTCAATTTTGATTTATCGCCACCATTTAAACGAAAGTGGAATTTTATTTCCGCATTTGTATGTTAATTTATGTTAATAACAAAACCAGTATAAAGTCCAATAAAATCTGAATGTTCCCAACACTACTATCGTTATAATATCGAGTTAATTAATCACATAATGGGGATCATTATTCATAAATCGACGTCCATCCGTCGTGTTTTGTTTGACACAGTTTTTTTTATCTACAGAGTTATTTCTTATACCGAAAGCTTTACAAAAACCAATCAACCGTTACTAGATAAGCAAGTCTTATTTAATATTACGATAGATTCAACAAAATTATACGACAATGAACATTTTTTTGTGCCAATTCGCTGTAAAAACTGTTTTTTCGCCATTTTTTAGGTCAAAAGCCTGCATCTGACATTAATGACAATATGATTGTCCTCTTTTGAACGGCTGCGTGAGAAATAAATTGTTAAAATTGTCATACTCAATGGGCTGTATTAAATAACTGGGTTAATAAAACCATCAAATGTTTATCTAGTGTTTCAGTAAGAAATCTGAGCTATGTTAGTATTGAGGTGACATGAATACATCAATGATTCTAAGTTTACAATGATCATCACGGTTATCATACTAGTCACGGTTATTTTAACAATCAAATTGTCCGGTAATTTTAAACTTGATATTTCTAGGACAAATGTGCTTTTTTTAATCCGTGGAAAGTATTTATTTTAAATTGCACCATTGAATTTGAACGGACATTCTACCAGGAGTGCAGAGATTGTGTGAAAGTCTCTGTATTGTCTGAGGTACTACTTTCATCTGCAGCTGAACAGCCTTCCGGGTCGCGGGTCACGCCTCTCCAAGGTTGTTCTCCCGATGCAGTGACCTCCTTGATTTTATGGCGACCTAGTACTGGTGCGGTTTATGCACTCAAATAACGTGATTCTTGTCCGTTTTACACGGTTACGCGGTGTCTTTTACGCTGTTATGTAACAAATATTTGACCTTGACCAAATAGGCGCAATTTTAATAACAGTTTTTGTAATCTCGAATCAGTTGGTCGTAATATATGTATGTTTATATTTTATACAGCGTTGTTTTGAGTTGCAGCGTGATTTAAGGCAGATACTTAAAGACTGACTAATTGATATCTTAATCTTTCGGAATGGCAACGCCTTCCTTCTCACAGATATCGTAAGTCGACGTGAGTTGAGCTGATCATATATATTGACTTAGGTATGCACTTATCAGAATATGAGCCGTTATCTTGTTGGCCATTGTCAAAACTATGTTCAGTCCTGAAGCCTACCATAATATTTAAAAAAGCAATCTGATACACAAATTAAAATTAAGTGGCACATAATATTCATAAACATAGAAAGGACATCATTTATCAAGATGAAAGCTTTTCTGTTGATGTGGGGCGGTGAAATTAAAGTTAACTGCTGGGGTTAAGTTTTATGTACTGTTTAAGATAGAACCAGTTACAATACGTGTAGGTCAGAGAGGATAACGTTATTTTAATGCTTCTTATGCACTTTCCAGTGGAAATATTTCCTATATTTTAGAAATGTTTGATTATAACAAGCACTTTTCAGCATAATGCTTGTTAGATTAACAGTCAATTAACTAAACTAGAATAAACCTAATTTTAAGCAATTTAGAATTATCTTTTTATATAATACGAAGAGCAAAGTTTATGGCCCACTTGATAGCAAGCGTTAACTGTATATAAATGAAAAACATTACGGATATTACGTTAATACGTGACACACATGCTTAGATTAGATTAGATTAGATTAGATGTCATTCCTCTTATCTTGTAATTTCATATAATATTTAGATCCCACTGCGGTATGCATGCGATATGCATTTAGCAGAGAAAAAGAGCTATATATTCCGATTGTTCTTTTAAAGAAATATTTTAAAATCTTAGAACTTTAAGATTTTGTATGAATACAATCTACCGAATCAAATAAGTAAATAAATATAAATTAAATATTATTAATATTCGGCTGAGACCTTAAAGATTTCTAAGATAATATAGCCATGTTTTTATATGTTAAATACTATGTTATACCAAGAAAGGGTATTGAAAAGGGAAACTTGTAAGAGAAAGTGTACGTCGGACAAGACATGTATACTAATGAGTGACCATTAGCGCTGACAAGCTTACTTCTCATACTGTACCAACTGTTAATACCTAATAACTATTGGTTTAAACGTAATTAATTGTAAATAGTGTGTAGGACACACTATTTATACGTATTGTAATTAATTACGTTAATACCCTATCTGGTGAAGTTTTATATGATATGGCATCTAAAGTAGTATTTATAATTCGTGTTAAAATAAATATAGTTAACACTAGCTTATAATATTTGCTTTTCTGAAATAAATGATGATGCCTATGTCGTGACGCTACATTTATCATTACATCAAATTTCATTAAGATCCATTCAACGGTTTGGTCACACATTTTTAATATTAAAGTTAAATTAAGTAATTTACTTAAAAACACTTTTTACTGGTTAATTTCTTGCCTTGGTACATTTACAAATTTTTTGTTCACTCAATACTAACGTTTGATAACAATGACACAAAATACAATTATAATATATCCAGAAATTTTTAAGTCGCTTCTACGATTGCATTCTAGAAATTTCAATAAGACGATTCATTGGTACTGCTTTATTATCATTACTCGAGTAAGTAATATTATTAGATTTATAATAATAGACAATTTCTTTGCAGATACGAACATCATGGACGACTGAATATCTTCTGCTGTGCTCAGTGCTAAGTTAATTTAAGTGAATATAAAGACTGCTAGTGTTAAATAAATAATTGTGCTGATAATGGAGTTCAAGACACATTTACTAGTGACAGCTACGCTCGTGTTGATTGGTAAGTATATATTTATACAAGTATCTTATAGAAGCATCTTATCAATTAATAAATATAAAATAAAATAGTATAGTAGAGTCTAATATTTATATTAATTGTTATATTATTTTACCTATTCGAGTCGTTTCTCCCTTTCTTTATAATGAAGGACATATATACAAAGAAAATAAGAAATAAATTCAAAAGCTTTATTTTATTTTTGTTATGAACAATAGTGCAAACAAATACTGACATTATAAACTCTCGCATTATGAGAGATCTTAAATCACTTGAACTAACTTTCCTTCACTATTTTAGCAAGATCTGAAAGAATAAGCTTTAATTGGCTGAATTTTAATGCAAACTCTGAATTTGTAAATGATATTAAAGAGTTATATCAGCGACTGTCTTCGGCTAATAATTATTTGTAATGATTATATTTATAATATAATTTATATTATAAACGCTATAAATAAATTATATACTTTTTACGTTTATAATATAAATTGTATATAATATATGTATTTGTAACAAGAAATGTGTCTCATTCGATATGAATAAAGGTTTAATTTATCTAGATATAAAAGGATCGTACCGTATCTACGAGTATGTATCTAATAATATAGTACCAAATTCTTCGGTAGATTCATAATTCATTGACTTCTATTCATTCATTATATTCACATTTATTTTTGATATTTTAATGAATAAATAGATACCTATAGATACCTATAGATACCTTAGATTTTATATATTTATTTAACGATAACTTCAACCCAAACTTTAACATATTCAAGCACATAATTTGATAATCAGTTATAAGGATATATGTATAAATGAACAAGGAGACATCACTTACTTTAGAATAAATAACGATGTACCTACATAAAATTACTAAGATATTTGTTAAAAAACATACATATGTACATAATATTTATATACACGATAGACAACAATCCAAACTTTCTGAACAAATCCATTTATTGATTATTTTAGGATGCCCTTCCGAAACGCTGAAGTCATCATCAGATTCTAAATCTGTCAATATTCCTTATTCTGAAGTAGATTTATAATCCACTTTGTCTGCATCACACATGACATTTATCGTTGTATTTCGCCCAATTTATATAATATCTTTTAGAATTATAGCCTATGTATTATTCTGATATATAAGCTATATTACTGTAAAGTTTCATAACAATCCGTTCAGTACTTTTTACGTGAAAGAGTGACAAACATCCACCCATACTCAAAAACTTTCGTGTTTATAATATTATTGAGATTGCATTTAATTCTTATACACAAGTCGAAATATTCAATAAACAGCTAAACATTGAAAGTTCCATATTAGAGAGACATATCTAACCTCAATCGAAAACTGGATTAGGCCAATAATTCAAACAAACATTTTTTTATAAATACCACAGACAAAAAACACTTGTCACGTCTATGAAAACCTGTTCGCCCACACAATGATCAATCTAATAGCGCCACTAATGATGCCGTCTGTTAGATCAATGATCTTTGTATCGTGATCGATGACGCGTGCGCAGGCGCATGCCAATAACCGTTAGCCGCGACACTGCTATGATTAATTGTTTCTTTGTGTTGCACAAACACGAGTGTTTATTAAGAGGCTTCCATATCTGTGTAAGCTCGTCCATGTGCGTGGTCGTGTGTATTAGGTCATTTAAGGTTTTTTAAGGTATAACTAACTAAAGTAAATAACATTCGAGTTATGAAGCTATTGCCTGCGTCTTTATCAGATTTTTTGATGAAATGTAGTCTACAAGGGTTTAAATTTGTTTTCGGACTACACTAATGCTGTTGGCCGCAGGTTTTATAGTTTCACCGGACGATAGGGGGCGAGTGCAGATGGTACTCCAAACCTGTGGAAGAACTTATGGCGAAACTGGCAAAGAAAATTTGTATATATTCTATTCCACTTCCAACATCCTCTCGGTTTTTGGCTTTTATTTTCTATGTACAGATTCGACCACTACCAGTTTATTATATACACATCTAGGTGGTCCTTGCAATACAATAGAGCTTTATATTAAACTTCAATATTAGTTAAAAAGTAATAAATTGTCATTTTAGAATTTTGAATATTAGTACGGCAGAATGATCCGTGCCTGACCAGATATATTAGGAGATTTATCTATTATTTAAAGAAAAATCAGTAATGAATAAGGTACTTTTAGCAGTCTTTGGCTACACCAGATTGGCGGAAGGGAGTTTAATATTAATATTTTCACGCCACAGTTATATACATATAAGAGCTGTCCCGGCAAACGCTGTTTTGCCATAAAAATTAATAACGCTATAAAAAAATAGGGGTTGATGATAGAAGGGTGAAAATTTAGAATTGTATGTATTTTTGTATGTTGTATCATAAAAAAATAGAAACTAAAAATTTTGTCTAAAAAATAAAAAATAAATTTAGGGGTGGACTACCCCTAACATTTAGGGGGACGAAAAATAGATGTTGCACGATTTTCAGACCTACTCAATACGCTCACAAAATTTCATGAGAATCGGTCAAGCCGTTTCGGAGGAGTATGGGAACGAAAACTGTAACACGAGAATTTTATATATAAGATAAACACGATTGCTTATGCGATAAAACCACCTTTTATATCTTATTATTCTTACCAAATGATGATGATAAAGTTGTAGAGATATTTCTAGACCTAAAGAGTTAATAAATAAATATCTAAATATACATCTATAATAATTTTAGAATTAGCTTTTATTTGCATTATGCAGTAAAAGAGAATACGTTAACGAAAAACATATTAACCCCAAATAAATGGGATAAGGATGAAGCAGATGATGATGATGAGTAAAAGAGAATACGTTACATTTAAAAATTAATCAATACATCTGTGCAATAATATAACCATCGACCTGCCCCGGCTTCGCACGGATGCATTACAAATCTTTGAAATTGTCGGCTTTTTCATAAATTCCTCTTGAATCACTCTATTGCTGATCACTGAATTTAAAATTGTTGCGTAATTTTAAAAATATAAGCGAATACACAGAGGTGGACAGACTCTGTTATTTGTAAAGGTAAGGGCTTGCAGATGGCTCTCAAAGCCCACGGAAGGGTTTATTGAGCGGCTGAAGGCCAACTTCCGACTGACGGATACGACTTTAGTTTGAGGGCTAGGGGTTCGAAACTCTGCTCAAACCATCGTAATTTCAATCTCCGTTTGAATTGGACTTGAATTTATTGATTGATTGGAGGGATGCCAGAATTGGAGGCAAGTTAGAATCTTTTACCATATCACTTAAAAAATATGTTTTTGTTTTTAAACATTGGTTTTTAGACCAGCCCGTGTAAACGTTTAGGATGTATATCATGACATATGGTCAGATAATGGTACTTACATAGCAACACGTACTCAGTACACGTGTTACACTGAACTTGATTTTTTTGCACACGAATAAGACATAGCGGTATATCCATTTATATACATGGTGTTCGTTTATAAAAACAAGTGACGCGCTCGATATAGTCCTTTAGTTTGCTTATAAATTTGTTCTGATTTGTTTTGTTTTAATTTAGCCATAACTTATTATATTATTATAATTATATATATTATACACAGTAAAATAATTAAGATTAGTGCAATGGTTTATTTATTTATTTCTTTAACTTAGTAGATTTTTCTTAAGATAACCATTTGTACATTTAAGTATTGCAGTCTACTTATTACCAATGTAATTCAATTATGAATAAAATAGAAATAAACTCGTAAACAATACATAGTCTAAAAACTGTGAAAATACCCCGAAAAGTGTAAATAAATTAATTTATATATAAAATAATAACGCCCTACAAATAGTTTATTCAGTTTTGTCGTTTTATTATTTACAATCGATTAGATCACCTATATAGATGATCTAATCGAGATGGTAGATATCAGATATCGTATACCTTCGTATACGATATCAGAATAGGGGGCACCACTAGTTTATTAAAAAAAACATAAATCGCAATATATAGATACTTAATTTATTATAATTGTTTGATTGTTATCATATATCGTATTATGAATAAATAAAAAAGTATATTACAACAACCTGTATGTGTGAATCAAACGCGAGTTACATGGTTAAGCGTCAACCCACATATATAACTCGTTTTATCCTTCACTTTATTGCAGTGCCGGCCGCGTGAAAGTATATACAAAGTTAGCGCCATCGCCAGCACGGAATTATTTCAAGAAAGTTTTTTACACAAGTTATAATTTTTTATCAGTATCCCTACAGTTCTACTAGCGTTAGTCAGTCAGTCAGTTGAGAAGAACAATAACGTAATAGAACAAACAAGTGTTAGAGTTCACATCAGTATTGTAGAAAAAAAATCCGATATTTTAAAAACATATTAAAAGAAGATAGTTTTTGTTTAGTACTAATGAAGTACCCAATGTAAAGATTATTACAAATATTGTAAATAGCGCCATCTAGTATTTGTAGACCGACCTACTATACTGGCTTCGGGCTGTAAATACGGAAGTCGGTAGTTGAATAATGCTCTTTCGTTGGGTGAGCCGCGGCATTCAGTCGACAAGCGCAGGGCTTTCCGGTTGTGTTTTTGGTATTAAAGTGAATTGTATTAGAAATAGGTGTATCCCGGTGTTAGACTGCATGTAGTGAAGGTGAGTGTTAATGCATTCTAAAAGGGCCTTATAAACCTACACCCGTGTCACAAGTCACGGGGGCTACTTGGAGTGTCCCTTGCGGTAGCCGGCTTCAAAGCCTAAGTCGTCATCATTAATTAGTGTTTCTTACAAAAGAAAATAATAATAACGTAAAAAGACTTACCGTCATTTCTAGAAAATATATCATAAATAAATTTAGGTAGACTTTATAAAGTCATTTGCGTGGATATATCTGCTCTATTCGTTTCAGCTGCCAAGTACCTTGCTTTATAAGATGCATTTCGATTGAAAGTTAAGATAAGTGAAATTACAACGGAGGTATGACATCTTAGTCATCTGAAATAACAT